AGTAACCAATTTAAAACCCACGTACATACGCACATACGCACATACCTGGCTTTAGACTATCTCCGTAAATAATAAACGTTACATTGATCATGCCGAAATCAATAACTTATCGAATCGGCAAATAATTATTCGGTTAGTTTTTCATAAGGTGTCCCAGGAATAATGATAACAGCTGTAAATGGTAAGTTACGACCGGGATAAAATCGCCACCTAGAAAATCATGTAATGTTGTCAATTAGGATCATGATAATAATATTTATAAAATATTAATTGATTTAGTAAGTGATTTATCTTCTTCGATTCTTCAAAATGAAAAAAATCTCGACAAGCTAAGTGATTCTTTTAAAGGCATAAAATCCAATAAACACAATATTCTAAAAATATACATCGATTGCCGTAACTATATTTCCACTAATAATAAACGAAAAAAAATGAATGAAAATCGAAATAAAATTATAAAAACTAATCAAGAAAATGTAATTGCACCAGAAAACCTTGTAGACTTTGTTTTTAATGCTCTTCCGGAATACTATAATTCTGATTATTTATTTGAGCAAAAAATTTTATAATTCTGAATCAGAAAAATTATAGAAGAAAATCTAATGAATCAAATAGTAACAAATGGCTCGATAGTTTTAATAAAAATTTTGAGCTATTGCATAAATTGGAGAATTATAATCATTTTAAAAGTAATCATAATACTTTCTGGCTGTAATAAATATTACGTTTATTGAGTTTATTCGAAATAAACAAAATTGCTTATCGTTATCATTTTGTTAGTCTAAATTTTTTTCGTTTGTATTTTTTTTTTTAAGTTACATGAATTTTTGGTGTTCTACATATTTTGTCACGTGCTACTCGAAACTTTTTTGAGTGGCGATTCTACCCTGATCGTAAGTAGTGTTCCGCACGGATCGGATCTGACGGATATTTTCAAGGATCCGGATTCGATCCGAAAACTCGGATCGGGTCCAAGTATGGATCCGGATCCGTGTTTAAATAGACGGATCCTCGGATCCAGCTCAGGTCTGACGCTTTTATATATGACGGATCGGATCTCTATGTGGATCCGAATTTGACGAATATTAAAAATCGTGGATCCGATCCGGATCTTCGAATCCATTTTGCGGAACACCTATAATTTCGGAGGTTTTGTCACATGAATCACAAATCACATGACTCTGCGATTGATGACGAAGGTCGGATATGTATAGTAAATAAATTAACATATTGTTCTCCCAAAAAAAAACTAGAATAAATTACGTATGATAACAATACGTAAAAACATTTTACGTGGGTTCGGTAGACATTCTCTCGAGCAAAAAAGTGTAAGTAAATAAAGTAAATATTTAACTCCAAAAAAAATATATATTATACGATTTTTTGACCAATCAAATCTCAAGATTCTAGATTTGATTTGGTCAATATTTTTTCGGAGTTTCTTTTTTGCTCTCGATCACTAATTTTTAATTTCCTTAATTTATAAATTAAAAAAAGAATGTGTGGTTATTTAATTATCCGATTTTTTTAATCCGGTTATACGTATTTATATATTATATTAACTTTTGTTGTATTTTAGTATGAATTTTAGTTTAATAAAAGAATAATACATGATCGAACATCACATAAACTGTTTTATAAATTAAGTTTATATTGATATCTAAACTTGCATCACAGCGATAACAACGATAATCTTAGATTTACATGTTTTTCACGTGTTGCTTCTTTTCATTTTTATACGTAGATATATATATCAAAAATTATTAATACGTACTATATGAGTGCATGAAAGTGAAAAACCTTTGTAACCAATCATAGTAAATCATTAATCTATTTCCAGGTTTTCACTCTCACGCTCTCATACGTATCAGATATATTATACTATTTACATATTTTATTATCATTACTATCATTATTATTATTACTACAGTACTTTCATTACTATCATGTGTGATCATCTAATCACGTTCTTCTCAATTTAACTTCCAATTAGCGTTAGCTTAACGCTAGGCAATCAATTTACCATTACCGTTACAAGATGATCTTTGACAAACACATCGATATCAAAAACGTGTATTTTTTTCACTTGTTTTTAAGTGTCAAACAAATAATTGTGAAATAGTAAAAATAGTAATCATAAAATCGTAAAATCATTAATACAATTAATAAATTTCACTTATCGTTATCATTATACATTATGTACGTACGTACAATATTACGGATTAATATTCTATTTGTCCTGTAATATTTTAAGTTTTGATTTTTTTTTTTTATCTTTACACTTTTTGTTACATTTTTTTTTATATGGTATACAGTAATAGTATAGAAATTTATAAATGTGTGTATGTGAAAAAAGAAATAAAAATAAGTATAATCAAGAAAAATAATAATAATAGTAATACGTAATAAACAATGATAAAGTCTGTTGTCTATACTGTACAACAAAAAAAGAACTTGAGAGAAAAAAAAATTGAGAGATAAGGAGGAGAATGATAAAACAAAACGATGTTTTGTTTTTGCTTTTTTTTTTTTAAAGAAATATACAATTCTATCTATTTGTACAATAAAAAAAACATTCTAGATGAAGAGCAATATGCCAAAATTAGTACAATGAATTTTTTATGTGAAAAAAGTGTAGTTGTTTATACAAATGGATTAATGAGATTTTTTTTTTTTTTTGGACGAACTCAAGCTGTGTATGAATGGAATTTATCTCGGAACTTTCCTCTACTTTTGAAATATAGCCAATATAGCCGATTCGGTAGAATGAAAGTGTGAATGAGAAATTCCCTAAACATCAAAGTAACGTAAAGTGAAAGTGGTCGTTTCATCAATCGGATGGATGAAAATTGAGAGTAACAGTATCCTCATGATCCGATCGAGACCAAAGGTATCAACAGTACATTACTGACGTTCATTAAATTATATATACATAAAGGTGATTCGTAGGAGAACCGACTTGCTATTGAATACAACAGCATATCGTAGATATCGAAGGACGGTTATTACTCAAATCGTTCTGATTTGATATATTGTCTGTAGAGGTATATGTAGAAGCGTAAACTGTATTTGAAAGTGATTGATTATTTCGGGAAAACCTTTGCCAATTCGTATTTCTTTGAGTATCATGACGAGAATTTAATGGAGAATCAGAAGCACCTGTTGTACTAAGAATATCTACTTCAGATCCATCAGGTAAATTTGGCATTTGAAGTAAATAAGAAGCATTTCCAGGTAATTGATGAAATTGATGATTTGTGGTCCTAGCCGGTTGAACTGCAGAAATTGGAGAAGTTTTACGACTATCGAATGAAACTATATTTTAAATAGACATGTGTTATAACAAAGAATCAATATTAGATTTTAGAACTACTGTATTATGCTTTTTAATGAATGATATAATTACCTGAATTTTTGTTACTTAATGAAGGATTACTGCCGTTATCTTTACGTTCTTGCCATATTTTTTTATTTTGTTCGAGAAATGGTACACAAAATTTCATTTCTATAAATTAATTAAAAGAAATGCATAATAAATAAATAAAATATAATAAAATATAATAAAAATATAATAAAAATATGATAAAAATATAATAAAAATATGATAAAAAAAAATATATATATACCATGTATCAGATCACCAACACACTTAAACAATGGCATCGCACAATAATCGATAAATCCTATCTGAGATTCGGACTGAGTGGTCTTTCCATTTCTATCATTTAGTGGAAGAATAGGAAGACCAAGCTTTCTTTCCAAATCACCTTGACATCGGAATTCTTCAATTAAAACATTCGACCAATTAGCAGCTATATGATAAGGTCTAGCCTAAAGTAAAATAAAAGGTTTAGAACATTATTTTGAATAATTAATTCATAATAAATTCATAATGAATTAATTCATAATGAATTTACATAATAAATTCATAATGAATTCATAATAAATTCATAATGAATTTACATAATAAATTCATAATGAATTTACATAATAAATTCATAATGAATTCATAATAAATTCATAATGAATTCATAATAAATTCATAATGAATTCATATATATATTTATAAATAAATGATAACATACAACATTACTAATATCAGCGCATTTTATTAACGCGTCGATAATAACATTCCGAGCCTGCTCTACCATAGGTTGAGTATCAAATTTAGTATCCAAAGATTCGAATCTTTTTATTTCCTCCTTTATTTTAGTAACGTAATCATTATGTAAGCTCATGTCTGTAGCAAGTATTGAATTCACTATGACTTTACGGAATTCTAATGTAAAAAAAAAAAATTATTATTAATTACTATGAAAAAGTAATAAATATTATGAAAAGCAATAAAATGAAAAATTACCATTATATTTTGGATTATATATTGAGCCGTTATTATTCTCGTATATTTTAAAGCCATGTTTTTGCATCATGTTAAATAATGTCATGGTATGAAAGCTTTCTAATACGGATTTGTCATTATACACCTGAGCCAAAGGAGTATTTGACTGGACCTACATAAGGCAATTACCAAAAACATTTATTATTTTTTTACCAAAACAATTTTTACCAAAAATAATAATTTTTTTTTTTTACCAAAAACATTTTGTATTATTTGTAAAAATTACGTACCAGAAAAGTGTTGTTTACCCCTGGATGGCCCACATCATGGCCTATTGAAGCCAATAATAAGGCAAACGCGTCGGTAACCGTCAGCAGATCATTAGGACGACAGCGTTGTTGATTAACTTTAATATTTCGTCGTTTTGAAGAAAATAAAGGAGGAAGGATATCCATTTGACACAAAAAATGAAACATTGCTTGTAAAACATCGACAGCATGAGTAAAATTATGGTATGGATTCGTATCATAATAAGATTGACGAATGGCTATTAGAAGTCGACGTAATTGTTCTAAATATAAATATTAAGAAATATTAAGCATTAAGTATTAAGTATTAAGTATGATATTAAATTAAATATAAAAGTAATATAAAATATAATTATAAAATAATATAAAATAATAAGTAAGGGTACCTGGTGACACGCCTAAGTCTTTGAGATCATCAAGCTGCATCACGTGATCGAATATGATAAAGACACATTCTAACAAATCATCATCATTTAATTGATGGGGATTAAATTCCCATTCAGATAACTTTTTTTTAAGAAGATTTCTTCGTTCTAATTCAGCAGCCTGAGTCAATCTAAAAAAACAAATAATGTAAATCGTAAAGAATAAATAAAATCGAATATACAGTAATGAAAATCGTAAAGAATAAATAAAACCGAATAAAATATAAATGAATAAATAAGATACCTTTGGGTGAAAGGCATTTTGATCATAGGCTCAGGAGGAGTATAATATTCAACGATAGCTTTTGCTAGCCTAAACAAAAGTAATGGTATAAATTAAAGGTAAAAACGACAATAGATATATATATATATATTTTAGAGTCATACCAATTATCTCTCATAAAAACTTCTTCAAGTCTCTGTTCGAAAGAAAAACTATTCCGTAAGGCAGGTTTTCGATAATCTGTTGGAGATATTGGAGGTTTGTTCCCCGAAAATCTATGTGCATTCTAATAATAAACAATAAAGTTTTTCAATATAATGAATATAATGAATATGATAAATATGATAAATATAATGGATATAATAAATATGATAAATATAATGGATATAATAAATATAATAAATATGATAAATATAATAAATATGATAAATATGATAAATATAATGGATATAAGACCTGAAGTTGCAAAAACTATATTTTTGGTAATTTATTTCTGTGTTATTAGTTATATTTATCATATTTATTAGATTCATTAGATTATCAGATTCATTAGATCATTAAAATTTATTAGATTCATTAGATTCATTAGATTCATTAGATTCATTAGATTCATTAGATTCATTAGATTTATTAGATTCATTAGATCATTAGATTAATTAGATTAATTAGATTATTAGTTATTTCCAAATGATATACTAAAGATAAACAATTACAAGAGGGGGATATACGATTCACGAATGAATTATGATATAAAATATATATGTATATAAAAGTAAAATATAGAAATAAAAGGTAAACATACCTTCAGAGAAGATAGATAAAAAAATTTTAACCAAATCATCAATATTTTGTTTATTGCCCTCGCAAATGCACCCGTCACCGCAAGCAGCTAAAAAAGAAAAACTTAAAGTCCTAGAGTCGTCAGAATTTGAAAGTTGAGAAGCATGATAGGTTCTTTCGTTACAAGAACGATCGACTATTAGAACCGAGTAACGACTTGGCTCCATATACAGTGGAGACAAAGGGGACAGAACCGAGTCTGTCGGGGTGGTTGGAACGAAATTGGGAGCCAGTGGAAAAGATTTTTAAAGGGAAACAAAATGATAAATATGATAAATATGATAAATTGAGTGTATATATAAAGTCCTTTATTCTATTAACAAAAAATTGACGATATAAAAATGGAACATATGCAAAAAAAAAAAAATCTAGGGTATTTACAAAGGATTTGTAAAGGTATTCTCTATTTA